AGAAATGAAACAAAAGTTAACAAGCAGGGGAGGGAAAATAACCAGTAAGTATAATCAATGTTATCAAACCCATTCTTGTTATGAGAGAATTATGGAATGGAATGAAGAAAACCTGGCAAATAATCTTTGATACCAAATGCTTCAGTGACATTGTGAATGAGAATACAGGTCCATATGTTAGTCATTTTGATTAGCCACTTCAGTGCTTTTTCAGTTAGTCTCCTGCTGCTCAAATAAATAGTCCTGGGAAATGGTGCCAAAGGACTAAGTGGAAAAGGATATGGTCACAATAATCCAAATTTGCCAATGGTGCTGGGCAGATCCCAGTCACTGACCATATAATCACCATCTTATTGACAAAACATTCCATGTCATATCCATAGACAAAAGAAGGAATCAGCTAAAATGGATCAGCTAAAGTTAAATTTAACTTGTGTCTACTGTTAACTGGAGTTGAAATAGAATCATTATAAGGACATCGTGCAGTATCTTTGCACCATAGTTAGGAGCATGAGAAGAAAAACTCTAATAACTCTACAAAAATGCTGTTTCAGATCCTCACTGTATAAAGGAATGCAGCCATAGCATCCCAAGAATCACACTAACCCACCAATTCTCTGTGCCTTCTCATATATTCAGTACTAATAAATCTAAATACCTTCATTATCCATACTATCAATGCTAGTCAGAAACCTTTCTATCTGCTTCTCTAAAATTCAACTTTCATTTCCATAGAGTAATACATGGAAAACATTACCTGCGTAATTCTAAAATTGGAGCATCTAGATATCTTTTCGAAGGCTTCATTTCTGTTTTATCAAAAGCTAGTTATGATATATTTCTTGACTATTGGGTTTTATTGTTGATTGTCAGTCCTAAAAAGTAAATGCTATTAACCACATCACCACTTCAGTGCCTTAATTGTCAACAGGTAGCTTTACCTGTTGGTATAAAAAGAATTAACATTCCATTATATTCTGTGCTTGTTTGGAATAAACTGCACATTTGTTCTGTAAATATATTTAAGAAAGGTTCAAAGAAAAACAATGAGCATCATGAATCTAGGAACTGGAAACTAAGTTTTACAAGCAGCAATGATGAAATTAGATGTTTAACCCTGAAAAAAGAGGGAGGATATGATATCATTTTTGAACTATCTAAACAAAAAAGATTTGGTCTTATTAACAGAGTTCAAGACTGAGTTAATAGATTGTTATGAAAAATCAATCATACAAATACGTATAGCTGAACAGAGCAGTAAAATAAAGTATGGGTATATAACAGTTTTCAACAGCTTTCTTAACAGGGATGATATGTAGAGATCACAAACCAGATGTCTCAACCACAACCTCAATCTGTAAAGCTGCCAGCAACCTGTTGAAACCACCTTAGGATGAACTTTTATTTTTATCTTGGGATTCAAAAAGTTAGGCATTCAAGTAGACTCTTTGAAGTATTTGAAGATTGTTTTACACAGGTATGTTTCCCTGAAAGTAGCACAGAAATGAAGAAGGCAAATAGAACCTTTACTCATTGCCAATTCCACTTCTATTTTAAATGGGGTTATCTATGCAAATACAGAGATACAGCTGACAAAAAATAGCCATTCTTCCAAGTTAATAATGCTGTAAATTACATCCTTGTGGATTCTCACTGAAATCAACAAAGATAATTCCAACTGCCCTGGGATGTACTCACTTTGCTTGTGGCATTATACTGAGAGTATAATCTTCCTATTATGCATCTTATTTATTTTATTTATTCAATTTCTAAAGCTTCCCACCTAAAATGCACAACTATGGGTGGCTGACATTTAAAACAACATCAAAAAATCAAAACTTGAAGCAATCATACAAACAATTTAAAACATGGGTGTCCAACCCCAGTCTGTGGACTGGTATTGGCTCACAAACATGCCAGAAACCAGGCCACGTAAACAAGCGAAGCCCCATCCATGGGATGTAGGCAGCACATGACACCCTCCAGTCTGTGGAAAAACCTCTCTCCACGAAACTGGTCCCTGGTGCCCAAAAGGTTGGGGGCCACTGATTTAAAACATTAAAGCCATTAAAAAATATGCAGTTCAGTCAGCAGGAGTGCACTGTACTGCAAGAACAGTACTACCATTTTATGGGCTCCACAACACTCACTGATTCCCCAGGCCAAATAACAAAGCCAAAACTTCAAGACCTTCCAGAAAGCCATCAAGGTCAGGGCTAGCCTGACCTCAGGGGGAATTAGGTTCCATAGGACAAGTGCAGCAGCAGAAAAAGGCCTTCGTCCTGGATCCCATCAGATGGATGGAACCCACAACAAAACTCTTCTCCCAGACTTGATGGGATAGGTGGATGTCACTGAGGAGAGGCAGTCACTCAAATAACCCAGCCCTTGGTGTACTGTTGAAGTATTCTCTTGCATGTTTTTCAGACAATTCAGTTCACATAACATGCTAGATCCCAAATCTCAATTGACCAAGTATAATTGCTATGTGCGTCCAAAAATATTAAACATTATATGGTTCAGGCTCCATTCTGAGTTAGTCACCAGGATAATATTCCAAGCTTTCTGGCTCACGCTACAGCCCATCATCAGGAAATGTCTCTCTCTCCAGAATATGCACATTAGATGTGTTATGTTTACTGAATATAGTTCCTGGTTGTATGTAGCTTTTAGTTGTTGATTAGGATGTTGGTATCTCACTATTAAGTCATTAATTGTTTTTTCCTTGTGCCACTACATCCTTGGCTCCTAAATACCTGATAGGCTGGTGGTAAATCAGTATTCCTATTGATTGACAAGGGGCCCATTTCCCAGGCTTCAATCATTTCTCTGACTATTTTTGTCGGCCAACAATTATACTATCTGCAAAACTGAATACAAGCAAACAGTCAGATGAGGAGATCTGAACTCATTGGTAGCCTCACATTGTTATGAACAAGGTAAAAATTTAAAAGGTAAAGGAGTCCATGCTGATTTTACTCTGCTAAACATTGCCAACTGTAGGGGGCGATGCTCATCTCTGTTTCATTATTTCCATGGTTGTGTGGCCAGATGTCAGGGAGAGCTGTTATTTTCCCGCTGAAGTGTTACCTATTTATCTACTCACATTTGTATACTTTCAAACTGCTAGTTTGGCAAGAACTGGGACGAGGATGGTAGCTCACTTCATCAAATGGTCTTCTGGTCTCAAACCTGGGTGACCTGGTGACTAACCCAAATTGGACCTTGAATGCATGTCCTTGTTCATTACAGTGTGAGACTACCAATAACTTCACTTGCTCATGATCTTGCAGTCTGGTGATTAGCTTCTTCCCAGTCTGTCCCACATGGTTACAGAGGCAATTCATGCAGGATTATATGGTTTTAATTTATATGGCCCAATCATGTTCAGTTTTTGCTAGATTATCATTATGATGCTGTCTTTTAGACAAGCATTAAATATCTGGCATTTTTCCATGTGTTGAACTAAGCCTCATTGTGAATTGGTTTATGATTATTATGCTTGTTTACCTGTTTGACCATATTTTCTTTGTTAAGGTTTTGATGTGTTTGACTTTTTATATTTTTAAATCTGTTGCCCTCCAAAGTCATTTTGAGTGTACAGTCAACAAATGTAATTTGTTGTAATGTAATGTAATTAATAAATTAATGAATTAACATGTCAAACTACAAACTATGTAACTAGAAACAAATTTAGCTATTGTGTGAAACCAGTGAACGCATAAGATTTTCATCTTAATTAAACTCTTAAACACCCATGCTTTCAATCTGTTTCATTATTACTTACTTGTCTGAATTTTATCCCTATTTTCTGTGTGTTTCTGCTTCTGTGGTCTTGCATTCTCCTGTAACTGTTTCCAGTACCTGCTATTAAGCTTAAGCAATGAGTCTGGGACTCATTTTAGGCTATTTTGTCCTGTCTAGGTAATTGTTATGTTCAGGAATGTTTTTAGTAAATTTAATTCCTATTTGCTAGAGTAGACACCTGTGTCTCAGAAAAGCACATAGAACATTTGTCTAAAGTAGTCTGATTTCATTTGTTTTTCCTAATGATCAGTTAGTCATGGAACTAATCCCAGATGATTTTTTGGAATCAGAATATTATACATCCATTATAATATCTTACCTTGTGATCCCTGACTTATTATGTCATAAGGTTGGTTTACTGTTGATCTTTTCTTCTGGCTTGGCTGGTTTTGACTCTGAATTAGTGACTCATGATTGAATTCCTTTCTGCTCATTCTTCCATCTAGCCTTAGTTCTACTCCTTGCTCTTAAAAAAAGTTGGTTTATGTTTACACCTTCCTTAACATTTATTCTCAAACCTGGGTAGATTACCCAAAATTGAATAAAAGTGATTTGTCTTGGGTAATGATACATAAACCCATCAGCCATAAGGACTTTCTGATAAGTGATTAAAAACAACTTTCTGATAAACAGTTAATGAAGGAAATGGTTTAGGGGTATGAAGGAAAAGGTTTAGGAAGCACTGTTGTATAAAATATTCAAAATTACCCATTTTACACTGAACTCAATGGAACAACTAATAATCCTAGGAATGTGGAACCGATCCCTGACTACATAAAGCAAAGCCTTCCTTAAATGAGCTCAGATCCTGTTGAATTCTTTTATTTTTATCAAGTACAGTACCTTTGTGAGATATTCTGAACACAACAAGAGTCTGGTAGCCGCCTTTCAGCTCTTTTTCACAAGCCTTATTATTTTTAATGAAATTTAGTAGTCTGACAGGGCTACTCCTCCCCCCAAAAAACCAGACTCCTTTTGTTGTGATCTATATTCCTATGATTTTTTTTTTTTTTTTTGGCTACCACAGACTGACACAGTTTTCCTGCAATGTATATAACACACTAAAGCATGGTGTAACATCAACAGTTACAGCTCATTAGTACACTTGAGCAGTTTAGTGGAAGAGAGTTTATTTTATTGGTTGTTGTTGCAGCGGCTCGTTGTGGATTTCCTGCTCAAATAGCAGCACAGAGAAGGGGGAAGAGAAAGAGCAAAGAGGCTATTCATATTCATATCAGTTTCCACTCTGCATCAAGCAGCTGCTTGCTCTATTGCTTACTTAGAGTGAGATCACTATTCCGTTTCTGAAGTTACAGCCGCTTTCCCTCTAAAGTACGGAAGATATTGTTCATGGGTGAGCCTTCATATTACTCCTTTTTACCCTTAACAACTAATTTCAGGTAGGAAAGACTTTTCCTTTTGATATTTTTAGTTGTTAGGAAGGGATGAGAGGGTAAAGCAAGGGGAGGACCTTGTTGTTCAAATTACTTAAAAAAAAAAAATTCATTGGGAAATATACTTTCTCAACTAGCCCTTCCCAGATTCTTTGGTTTGCAGCTTCCATCATTCCCTGTCAGTGTGTGTTGTAATCCTATGGAGTAAATACCAAGAAAGTGAAACAGAGGAACTTTTTCAATATTGTAGATAAGCAGAAACATGGTGTGTGACACTAGGAAATATTAGGAGGTAGAGGACGCTGCATATGAAATTGCATCATCCATTCAAACGCTTCTCTTACAGCTTATTTTTCATCAAACTCAATAGCTATATTGTGTACTGAGGTCTGCTTCAGCTTATTTTCCAGTACTATATTTGATCTCATACATGGTTTAGTATAGCTATTTTTTCTACCCTTTAATTATTCACCAACTATGGTAGCAAAGGAATTTCCATTAATGATACATTATTTAAGAGTGTTTTATTTCATTTGTATATATAGGCATCTCACCTAAAGTAAATGTCAAAAGTAGCAAACTCCTAACTGATGATTCACCTCCATTTATTTCTGAAGATATTGCTTTAAGTAGGCAAGAGGTGGTAAACTCAAATGAACTTTGCGTTGGTTTCATTGCCAATTCATAACAATGAGCAAGCTAGCAAATATTTATAGATACACTGCTGTGAATTTCGAACAAGTGCTTTGCTTTAGATGAAAAATCTTGGGGCAATTTATGCTATCTCTTACGTAATGTTTTGATGAAAACCATAACAGCCAGGCGGTTTAGTATTGTAAATCTATTTAACTGTCCCATGAGCTCATCCAGTACTGTAAAAGCAGATAAACAAATGTTCCTCTGATGTAATTCTCACAGTTCGTTGCCATTGGACAAACTGTCCAAGGCTTATAGGAGTTGAACTCCAAAACAAATAGAGATCTACTTCTAGTCTACATATTCTCTTTCTGTTTCCCAACAGTAAGCAATATCAACTTCACCAGACCAGGAATTGGAGCAGAGAAGAGAAAGAAGTTTCTGCCCAGGGGAATGAAAGAAGCAAAGAACCAAAGAGATAAGAGAAGACAGAATTTAAACTGAGTTCCGGCTCAGACATCAACTGAAGTAGTAAAGATAGTGAAAAGTGGAAGATCAAGGTAGAGTCACAGACCTGTGATACCCTAAATATGAACTAAATTATTATATAATTTTGTGGACTACAGTCCCTTTCATAAGAAAGGGTACTTATTCATTCAACAAAAATCTATATAGATGCTGTTATGAAGAAAAGGATCCCATTTATTAATTTATTATTAATAGCATGTATCTTCAACCACAACATAAATCCATTTCTTTTGGTCTTACTTTTTTATTTTTCCTCTACCACAATTACTTTTTAAAATAATTTCTTTTGCAATTTAGAATCATTCTGTATATTTACTGAAGTAGTAATTACAAAATGCAAAGTAATACTAAAGGGAGGTTTAACTGTGATATAATTACACCAAATGATATTGCTAGTTCACATTATAAACTTTTTGTGAATGAAAAAAAAAGTTGCTTTTAGTTTAATCTAAATCTTTTAACGTTCATTTAGCAAAGGCTCTTCACACTTTTGGACAAGTCATTCTACCCCAGTTTATTCTCATCATTTCATCAAACCACACATCAAATAAACACAGTACATCATCACTATCACTAAATAATTTGATTTTCTTAATTTTCTCCTACCTGTACATGCTCGTGTGTCCCCCCCCGCTGCCCCCAGGCCAGGCTGAAGAGTATCATCTAATGGGTTCAAATACTACACATCTGATTTTTTCTCTGCTGCTTAATTCTTCAGGGGGGGCGGGGTTTCAAGAAAAATGAGCAAAATATTGGGCCCTACAAAAGATCAATTTATGCATTTCAGTAGGCTTTCTTTGGCTGTTTTTGTAATAACAAGGTAATTATTCTGATAAATAATAATAAATAATTATTCTGACTTGAAAGAAAATATCCCACCACATTTTTTTATACTAGATTTTAAAGAATTATCTGGATTTTCTTTGAATCAAATGTATGAAGGATGGCACACAAACAAGAAAAACAAGATTGAAAATAGTTTTGTGCAGACTTCCTTCTAATATATACTTTCCCTAAACAGAGAGCAAATCCTACACTCACACACATTGATGATGTTACCTAGTTGGTTAATGAAATGTCTGCAAGCTTCAGTTCAACCCTGATCTACATATATACCCTACTATTGATTTACCCTAATTGCATTTTTTTAAAAAAAATGATGGCTATATTGCAAAATTTGGAGTCAGGAGAAATGTGGAGAATAATTAGAATTTTATTAGTTTAAAAATGTGATGCGTTCATATTCAAATATGAACTGAACAAATTTATCGCCAATCCCTGACAGTTAACTGCTGACAGTTAACCTGGAATAACTTCTCTATACATAGCTTTAGCTGCATTCTTCAGGATGTTTAATATGTTGATTTCTTCATTTTAGCACAGAAAATCTGTGAAGGCCTATATTGATTATTAGCTATTCCTTTTTGTCATTAAGGCAAATGTGAACATTCAGGAGTAGAGTTATTGCTGCCAGTTGGTAAACTCAGAGTTAATCTCTGTATTGTGGGGCTTGTTTGTTGTAATACACTAATATCCAAATAAATCAAGAAACTACAGTTTCATACCACGGGTTACTTTTGGCAGGCTAACTCCACAGAAGTAATTTTGGCTATCAATTTGAGATAATATAGCTGAGCTTATATTTTAAATCAGGTTAGTCACACTTATTTTAATCAAGATTTCTGCAAAAAGCTTCAGTGACTTTATTCACCAAAAATGCTGAACCAAATTACATTGTGGGTTATAATAAGAATCCAATTATAATCTCTTGGGTAAAAGGAAAACTGGAATGCATAAAATACAAAATGCATGAATTAGAAAATGTCTACGGGCCAGAATATTCATGCTCAATATGAAAAAAAAAGCTGTGATAGCTGAGGTTATTCAGTGTTTTCATTGGCTGAAAGAAGATACTTTATGTTGTGTAATAGGAAGAGAAATTGAGGAAGTGGAGATTAACTCCAAGGCCATGCTTATTAGTTCAGTTATTTCATTTATTTATCTCATTTAGAAACCACCCCTCTCCCTCACAGAACAACTCTAGTGTACAAACAGACATAAACACACAAAAGTTATATACATTATAATAAAAATAATTAATAACAAGAATAAAATAACGTTAGGTGGCTATCTCAAGTGATTGAAACTGGGAAATTGGAAGACAGATGAGGAGATAATTTTTGATGTTCCAGAATCTGATAGAGTTTCCTCAGATGTAACAAAAAAATCCCTCACTTTTTTCTTCTTAGTGTTTTCCTACAAGTGCAGGGAATGCCATTTTTCCAGATCAACCAAGTATTGATCCATTGGTTGCAACAGGAATTGACTAACTGATGGATCTATTACTCAAGCCTGGCATTGTGACCAAAGCAAAAATGACTGTCAATTGCACTGAGATTCTACCTTTTGTTTGAGATCTTAAAGTGCCTTCTATGGCTCATATCTCCTAATCCCAATCATGTGGGTTGCCTGAAAGACAATGACTGGTCAACATTTTCCAGGGACTGTCCCTGATCCACTTTAGCAGCACTAAAACAAATCAATTATCCCACCAGTAATATTCCGCATGTAGAAATTCAAGGAATAGTTTAATAGCCTTCAAAAAATATTGAGTCAAATCTTGGATACAAATAGCACTTAAACTTATATACTGCTTTACAGTGCTTTACAACCCTAACCCTCTCTAAGAGGTTTTATAGAGTCTGCATATTGCCCCCAACAATCTGGGTCTTCATTTTACCAACCTCGGAAGGATGGAAGGCTGAGTCAACGTTGAGCCTGGTGAGATTTGAACTGCCAAATTGCAGGCAGCCAGCAGCCAGCAGAAGTATAGTGTACAGAGCGATCTCAATAGAAAGTTCTCCAAATTAAATTTCCATGTGTATTATACAAAATACAGGTAGTCCTCAACTTACCACTCATTTAGTGGTTCATTTAGTGACTGTTACAGCTGCATTGAAAAAAGTTACTTCTGACAATTTTTCACACTTATGACTGTTGCAGCATCCTCATGGTCACATTATTTATATTTGGATGCTTGACAACTGGGTCGTTTTTATGACTGAAGTGTCCCGGGTCATGTGATCACCTTTTCCAACCATCTGACAAGCAAAGTCAATGGGGAATCCAGATTCACTTAACAATCATGTTATTAAATTAAGAACTACAGCGTTAATTAACTACAGCCTTAGCAAATGTGGCAAGAAAAGTCGTACAATGGGGCAAAACTCACTTAACAAATTTCTCACTTAGCAACATAAATTCTGGGCTCAATTGTTGTTGTAAGTCAAGGACTACCTGTGATAGCTAAACTTTATGTGGTGCCTATCACTGCTTAGGCTTCCAGTGATAATTAATCACAGTAATACTATGTACTATGTATTTACTAGTATTTCAAAGCCATTAAACTTTTGTTTTTAACCTAAGATAGGTCTGGAATCTGTGTTTCAAAGTCTGCTTTTCATGAACTATAAAATCATAATTTTATTATGAAGACTTTTCTGCTCTTCTAATCATGAATTTTAGACTTAATGTTTTCTTCCTTCTCCTGTCCTCAGTCCAAGCAAAGCACTCTTATTTTATAAAACAAATGCATTGCAGGTATGTGTTGTAATTATGTATAGGAAAAATCCTGGAGTACCAGAGGTTGTAGCCATAGACTTGGATGAAAACTTGATGGGGTTCTGTGAAAGATTAAGGACATAAACAAATAATTCACTTGAATGCAGCTATTTTTTAATTACAAGAGTTTTGATTAGGGTTCCAGATGATGGTGGTGGTGACTATTATTACCAACCTAACATATTCAATGGCTTGAACATATTTGAAAGCCCGTGGCCTACAGACATCAGAAATGAACCTTCATGGAATTAAAGTGTTACAGTATAACTATTCCTTGTTTCTGCATTTTTCCCCCCAGACAAAACATTCTCTCCTTCTTATTTCCAGGTAATGATTAACTGAAGATGACGGGTCCTTGGACAACATGTTGCAATAAAAAACATAAACCCAAGAATGAATTACAGGAGTTGGACTCAGTGGCAGAGAACAAGAAGGAAAAAATGCAAATGAAACAAGAAATCAGCTTGCTTAATGGCATTTCTTTAATTGTAGGGAACATGATTGGATCCGGAATATTTGTATCACCCAAGGGTGTGTTGATGTATAGCGGCTCGTATGGACTTGCACTTTTCCTTTGGGCCATTGGTGGGATCTTCTCTTTGTTTGGAGCATTGTGTTATGCTGAACTGGGGACATCCATCCTTAAATCAGGAGCAAGCTATGCCTATATCCTTGAAGCTTTTGGAGGATTTATAGCATTTATCAGACTGTGGTCTTCCTTGTTAATCATTGAACCTACCACTCAGGCAGTCATAGCAATTACTTTTGCTAATTATATTGTTCAGCCAATATTTCCATTTTGTGAGCCACCCTATGGAGCAGTTAGGTTGATTGCAGCAGCCTGCATCTGTAAGTAAAATTTTACTTGGTCAATGCAATAATTTATTATATAGTACAGTTTTAGATTTCAATATGTTTTATTCATTTTCTGGAAAAACAGTGAGCCAAATAAATTCTAGGATCTGCTTTTTTATCAGAAAAAATATCTAAATTCTTATTAGCTCAGTAGATTTGAATTGAAGATGAAAGCAGTTAAATATGAAACTTTTTTTTTTTGGTATAGTTTCCTGTTAACTGCCAGAGAAGGAACAGTGTGTACACAGTGGATTTTAGATTTTGGTTTTCATTGGGAATGTCCTTTTTAGATCTTGATTATTGATTTCAAATGTGATAAAATGTGATAAACCAAACAGGACTGAAAACTGGAATATAAAGGCATTGGCTAATCTAGTAAGTTATTATTTAGAATGGCCAAGATCTAAAATACATAGGCCAACTATTTAGCTCCATATGCTAGAGTTAAATGTGCTGTCCTGGAATATGAACCAATATTTCATGTTAGAAATTATCAAGTAGTATAATAATGGATTAACTATATCTAAAAATAATTTGAGTCTACCCCCTTTGTCTTTTAACTCAACATTATAACTTGTACATGTGATCTACATGATGAAGGCAATCTGGTGGCTTCCAGCTATTTTGAGCAAGAAATTGACAATTCACTGTTATTGACCTTGCACCTAAAAATGGTCATATTTTTATATTATTATATTTATTCAGCACATAACTGAAACTGAACTTCTTTTCACCTTCCCAACACCCCTATAATATCATTTGCATTTCTGCTCTTTAAAAATGGGAAACTGAAACAAAATAGAAAGGTTTGCCAAGCCCGCATAAGTTAAATACCTGAGGAAAGAATTCAAAAAAAATTGTGCAATCATTTCAATGTTTACTGAAAAGTGTAGCACGCTGTGATTTATTTCTCTGAAAGTATGTGCAGTAATGTAACAAATTCTTACAATTTGTCTTAATCAGCCTGATGGCGAAATAATAGGACGTTTAGGATGGCATTTCTTCATGCCATCTTGTGATCTGATTGATAGAGTCTTTCCATTCTAAAACTGGCAAATCTGGTTAAACATGCTCAGAAATTATACCATTAAACATCAAATATAAATCATATTTTCTTTAAAGAATAGCTTACGTTGTTCCAATTGTTTTGGTTTCTGCCTCCCACTGAAGGGATATGGAGGAAAGAGAGATGACTCATTTTTATCTGTATGCTGCTGGAAAATTTGTTTTTGGTCTGCATTGCGCGCTCACCTTTATAGCTAGTCCTTCTTTAGCAACTGCCTCTTTAAGTGACTGTGCATAGTTATGATTCTGATGCAAAAGTAACTTTATGACTAATCCCTGCCTTTACGATTTTCAAAGGTCTATTTAAAAAAGCAAGCTGAAGTACAGTCACAGGACAATTGTAATTTTATTTAGCAACAGCTAAATATCGTTGGGGGATTTTGGAAGATTCATAGCATATATGAACCAAGTTACTGGTCCCAAATATGGTCACTAAACAAGGATTACCCGTAGTTCTTTAATACATTCACCTACACTTTCGAAAAACAAAACAGCCAGGCTGTTAAAAAGAGATATTTCAAATAGCTTCTGTATTCTAATTAAATTCTAGAAAATTTGTTAAAATTTTGTATTCTAACAAAGTTCATGATCTTTGTTTCCTTTTTTTTTTTTTGCCTGTGTAAGGCTCCCTGACTTTTATTAATTGTGTCAATGTGAAGTGGGGAACCCGAGTACAGGATCTTTTCACGTATGCAAAAGTGATGGCTCTTATCATGGTCATAGCTGTGGGCCTTTATAAAGTTAGTCAAGGTAAGAATGAACTTACTGTTATAAATATGGCAAAGTAAATAGTAGATAGAAGCAAACATTGATTTTAAATCAGACTTTACTTTTTGGCTCTACGATATGAAAGTGCATGTGTGTGTGTGCGCACACACAATGAGAGATGGATGGATGGATGGATGGATGGATGGATGGATGGATGGATAGACAGACAGACAGACAGATAGATAGATATAATGTGTGTGTGTGTGTGTGTGTGTGTATACATGCAGATCTGTGGTTGAAATATTATATAATTATTCCTAAGGCTGTAGACCAGGAAACACCAAAACAATTCAGTTTTTAAGGCCGGATAAGACAACCTTTATCAGCATCCCATCATTCTTGAAATCCATTTTTTTGTTATGTTCAAAAACTTAGCCATCATTATTTCCAAATATAGCTTTAACCATATACTGCCAGGAGATAATTACTAGAGCAGATAATTATTGAGCAATCCAGATGCAAGTTTTGATTTTATATTTCAAACAGGGAGCTGATTTTAGTTCATTTTTCTTTTTAAATCTAATGGGGACAAAATAACTCCACTAAAGAAAATTATTGGAAAGACGTGTCATCGTATAGAACTTGCTTCCAAGTGGCATATCTTTGCTCACATAACTAAATAATGTTCTTTTGTGACTTTTCTCCTCTGATGCCAGAAAGCTGGTATGAACAGACTTGCTTCCCAGAAGGATAAAAAAAATATACAGGCAATATAACCAACTATGAATTCAGTTATGGAAAGGGAAAATGTTACCATGATTTTTGTGCAGTGAATAATTTCAGTTCTGCTCCATTTTTACCTGAATACATATAAAATACCTATATGCCTAAATTTAAACAAAACCTGAAACTTCTGATGTTTCCACAGGAAAAACTGACAATCTCAAGGAACCATTTGAAGGTTCCACAACAAATGCAGGATTTGTTGCACTTGCTCTTTATTCTGCTCTCTTTTCTTACTCTGGATGGGATACATTGAATTTTGTTACTGAAGAAATGAAAAACCCAGAAAGGTATATGTTTATGCTGGATAAATATATCTCTTCCTCCTGCTCCTCTTTTTGCATCTGTCATGGGTTTTTTAATGTACATATATATGAGTAAGGTCAGTAATATAGAAAGATACATTCCTATATAAACCACTGTATTAATATTTGCTTTATTCCTTTGAATTTATTCTTAATTCAGGTGCATTTAATATATTCTGCTGTTTTTCTTTCTCTCTTCCTTTTTTCAGAAACCTTCCACTTTCCATTGCAATATCAATGCCTATAGTGACTATTATTTACTTGCTGACCAATGTGGCCTACTATGTCGTGTTGGACATGTCTGCTCTCTTAGCAAGTGATGCCGTGGCTGTGGTATGTTGTGCATTATAGATTGTTGGGTGCATCTGATGGGCAGCCTCCCCTATCTCAGGAAATCTACATGTATTGAATTGCAACTCCAAGAATTTCAGTGCATCTGGAGAATGGAGGTTGAAGAAGGCTGACCTGAGTAATAAACAAATTTTTCTTACCACTTGCCTTTCATGCAGTCCAAATACAGTGCTTCTTTCATCAAAATAACAAAAACTGTGATATTGTATTGCAACACTATCTCTTTGGGACCTGTGTATGATGTCATGAAGCACATACAAAAGCACAGGATGAAATGGCACAGCATTGTTTTCATCAGACCCATATGTTATAGGGGCTGCTGAACCAAACTTCTCATGTTTTCAAATCCCCTTGAAGAATTTCCTACTGCAATGGGAAATCTATATTGGGTAGGGACAGCAAGTGACTAAATCAATTACACTCTTTGCTGATTTTAAATCTTAGTAATCTTTAGCCATAGAAGTATACATCAGGCTTAGTATTAGCTCATTTTCTTAGATGCTTTGACACAAGAATCAGTATTTGCAGTAGAAAACCTCAAGCTGCAGGAAAGCCAGATAATTTAGTAATTTTTCAGTATCTCTAGAACTACGTGATTGAATCTTTTTTGGCCCGTTGGAGGTAGGAGAGGTATTGCAATTGTTTAAAGGTGCAAATGCAAGCAAAAATCACCTGATAAACAAACCATTATTTTCATGTAAACTGATCATCCCCTTCCCCCATGGTCTCAAATATAGCAAAATGCAATCATTTGCTAATGAATCTTAGGTTTTGCTAGATGCTCAGAGCTGCATACAATTCATTGGTTACCCGCTTTTTAAAGATTTATGAGATGCCAATTTATGGATATAGCAAGGGCTCCTTGTTTTCAAGTGATATAATTTATTATGAGTATAATTCTGAACTAAAATTGTAGATAATAAATATGGAAATGAGATATATTTGCATATATTTTGCAATCTTTGAAGCTTGAGTGTTTTGAAACAGAATTATATACTTTTATCAGTGATTAAGGGACAAAAATAGGGATAGAGAAATTAGTCAGAACATGTAGAAGAGCAATAGTTAAGAACTAAGGATCTGGGAATTAGAAAGGAAGCTGTTAGAAATTATCACTAAGCAACATTATCACCGCATTGCAAATATAACCTCTTGATTCTGAATTAGCAAGGCTGAGTCTTACTTTTAAAGTGAGTTATTATTCTGAAGGAGCAACCCGTATTTTGGAAGCTATCAAATGATCTTCTTTGGGAATACTTTGACCCTTGGGTTAGAGCAGTAAGTTCCATGGACCTTAAACAGAGGACATAAATAGAAGGAGACACAGGACTCCTTTCCCATGAATTGTTGCTTCTCATCCAACACTCAAATCCAATGCTGATTCAAAAACATCTCTTTCGAATTACAGCATGGTCAATCTGACCTTCGAACACTGAAGTGGAATACTGCTAGAAAGCAGAACAGAAATATCAACTTCATATCAAGACCCATCAGCATTATATTGCCAATAGGTTCCCACTAGGTTCCTTAAGCTTGGTTTATTTTTTTCATTTTTATGTACATTATTAGAGTGATATTAAATAATAAATTATTATCTTCTTTACAAAATAATTAAAATTTACAGCTGACTTTTTGCAAAACAAAAATTTAGTATGTATTATTGTCATCCTAAGAATGGTTCTGGGTTCCACATGAGACCCATAAGTATTATAAAATGATTGGTGTGCTGTGTAGAAGTTTGGCTATCCATCTGTCTAGGACAACCATAACAACCACAGAATGATAGGAATCCAGGGCTGGAGGAACTGATAGGCACAATCTCTGGTTTGTGTTTTGGCCAATGGATGCTTTATTATTGGTCACAACCACACTGAAAAACAACTTTCTATTTCATAGGTATAACTAGCTCATAAGAATACCTCATTATTGTTCCGGGAAAGCTTTTATTTAAAGTGGTAGAACCAAATTATATTTTCTACAACATACCTAAGGCATATAAGTATTCAGTATTGTTGATTTTCTTCTTCCTTTATTTTCACTCACACTACGTTGATTATTGAGGGATCCTTGGTGCTCTTAGACTTCGGTTGTTTTCTTGCAGATGTATCAATACCCAAACTAAGTAATATCATCAGTGCACTGCTTACATTACCTACTTTAGGTAATGAAATGTCTGCAAGAAAACAACCAAGCTCTGAGATCACCAAGAATCCCCCATTTCAACCCTGAGCAACAAATATTCTCCTTTATAAGTTGATTATTCTTCCCTGTACCATATACAGTATATGCATATCTTATGGAACTGTTAGAAATGCATCTTTAACCTGGTCACCTCTCAATACAGTTTGGACTACAATTCCCAGGTAATATAAAGATAAGACATTATTTGCAACATAGTTGGGAATTCTTGACCATGTAGTTTCAACACTTCAGGAAAGCACCATGTTAGGAAAGTTTGCTGTAAAACAAATAAGGGTAAAGATCATCCAGTTATGGATGACTCTAGAGCAAGGTGCTCATCTCTGTTTCTTGGCCAACAAAGCCAGTGTTGTCCAAAGACATTTTCCATAGTCATGTGGCCAGCATGGCTATATGTCAAAGGTACATGGAATGCTTTACTTTCCCACCGAAATGGTACCTATTAATCTACTCACATTTGCATGCTTTCAAACTGCTAGGTGGGCAGGAGCAAACAAGGTATGTGATTATTTCTTTTGCTACCTAGAAGAAGTTTGGGACTTTACAAAATTCTCGTACGATTATAAAAAAATCTTACCAGATCATGATAATTCTTTTCTAGCTTTATTGTCTTTTATTACTTAAGCACTAGAAATCTAGTTGTTCATGTTAGATACCTAAATTCAAAAGCTCTGCCAAGATGTTGGTATTGTCAGAACTCACTGGCTATAATTTTATGCTAGAAGTTAAATTTCATGCAGTCAATTTCCCAGACACAGGAAAACTAGATGAATGAATCTTTTCTTCTGTGTTTTTCTGTTGCAGACATTTGGTAATGAAGCTCTTAGCCACGCTAAATGGATCATCCCTATTGCAGTGGCAATGTCTTGTTATGGAGGCTTAAACTCATCAATTATTGCAGCTTCAAGGTATGAGACACTAGAAAATGGGTACTAATGGACTGATAACTCAGTAGCCAATTCTTAATAAATGTTTCTGTTGTGCAATGTAATGCTGAGCATAAACAGCTTTTCCTAAAAAGTCTCCATCAGACTTTTTAGGAAAAGAAACTGAATGGATCATTTCTTGAATTTTCCCCAGGGGAAAGAGTTTTCCAGCAACCTATGAAGGGTAGGAGGCACTACTAGTCAAAAAGACCAAGAGGAGGCAAGTTTATATCCTCTCTTGGAATTTAATTGAAACCACCATAAGTTGAAAATTACTGGAGAAATTACTGTGAAAATTAAGCAATTCTTATGTACCCTGCGGCCTACTGAATAAGTGAAAAAGCACCACATTCTACCCATGAGAATGTTACCAACATTTTCTATCTTTTCGGGGTGGGGTGGGGGGGGGTGCTATTTTATTAAATTGTCTGTGTAATGATAAATAAGTAAACAAGCAAACAAATAAATAAATGGCACAGAATACTCATATTTAGTGAAAATTATTTTGTTATCACTCTTTTTCTCTTAAGATACTCTCTTCCTTGTTCCTTTCCCTCAAACTATCAGATATCAATATGATAGCAAAATTAAATTTCATTTTAGGAAAGGCCTGTTACAAGGATCAGGTGCTATATCTTTGATAATTCCATCATCCCAACCAGCATGCCCAACTTTGTATGCAACAGCCATGCTAGCTGAGATTTGTGGAAGTTGAAAACCAATATATTTGTTGGGGGGGACACTGGGTTAAAGAGACTGAATGTCAGGATGCCACAGAAATTTATTGTACTATCAGCCCAGAAATTTATGGTAATGTGTGCTTGTAATATTCCCACCATAATGCTTTCTGCTCATTCATTAATTCCTGGAAATGGCTCAAGAAGCAACCATGTGTTTTCTTTGAACTAGACAGCTAAAAGCTGTTTCTTTTATTAATATTGCTATGAAGCTGAAATTGTTTTTTCTTCCTTCTGGTTCCCTCTAGTGTCCAACTTTTAAAGTTGTTTTGAAATCCTGCCTTTAAAAGGATAAATAACAAGGATACCTATAATTAATTCCAAAATCTTATTTTAAATCCACCAGACCCTTAGTCAACTTGTAACTTTCAAGGTTCTAATAATCCTTTTGCTATTTATTCCAAAAGAAAAAAATGGTTTTTAAATTTGCATTTAAAATGTATTTTGCTAAGAATTGAATGAAATTTGCCTGGTGCTATAAAGCTTGTCATCGAATTGTTCCTAATAGCTGAAAAGCAATTAACAAGCAATTTCTGAAAATGATTAGAAAAGGAAGTAATGTTTCAAGAAGAATCTCACTCTTCTACGTATTGTATAACTATCTTGACTATAAGAATTCATTTCTTATAGTCATTTATATTTACCCTGAGATTCAATAGGGGGTTACAAGATAGAGATTTTTAAAGCAATGGCATGTCAGCTTCTCAAAGAAGTTCCAATCTACTAGTTTTGATAGTGGCAATTTCATATTTTATTTACACAAAGAATATTGTGATGATGTTCTATTCTGAATTCTCTGAAGAAGAACAAAATTAAAATTATAAATTATTTTAAATGGGGAGGAGGAAGAGGAAGTATCTGTTGCACTAAGATTTACATAAATATTATTGTGAATGTATAGAATTATATACTAATACTTTTTTCTCACTTTTGATAGACTTTTTTATGTTGGAGCTAGAGAAGGACATCTCCCTGATAGCCTGAGCTTAATTCATATAAAATGTTTCACCCCTGTTCCTGCTCTTGTTTTTAATGTAAGTAATGATAAAGCATATGAGAAGAAAGCGCTTATTTTGAAATCTAGATTCATATATCTATAACTGAGCCAAGCAACTTATTTTTACAACTTAATATATAGGCATTATTCATGCAGTCACAATAGTAGCCAGTTCATGTCTGTTTTGAAGACTGGTTGGATTTAGTGGTATGTCTTTGAAGTTGTGTATAAGACTTCTAGTCAAATTATTCTCAGGCCATTTTATAAAAAAATAAGAGCAAGAACCGTCAGCAACAACATACCTAAAGAAACTTCCGAAATGTAACTCTATAGCAAGGGTGTCAAACTCGTGTCAGCATGGCAGCATCACATGACAAATTGGGACTTTTCCCCCCTCGCTAAACTGGGTGTGGGTGTGGCCAGCATGTGACCCATCTGGCCCATGGGCTGCAAGTTTGACAGTCCTGCTCTATAGCATCTGGCTGGGGATTGGGACCGCATATTTTCTTTCATTGTCAAGTTCAAGGGCAACTAGCACAAAAAGAAGCCTTGAATTGATGCACTTTATCTAGTCAAAGTTGTTAGTAATGGAGAGAGTATATTGGGAAACTGTAAGGCATCAGTTGAGACAAATCAGTGATTAAGTATCATTTAGAGCAGGCTGGGGAATTCTGGAAGTTGAAGTCCATATATCTTAAAGTTGTGAACTTAGTTGTTGAAAGTTGAAAACACTGATTCAGAGCATATTTATTTTCCCCCCTATCTTTACACTTTATTCTTTCTCTTTTATCTCCTGATAGGGGTTAATGACTTTGGTTTATCTCCTTGTGGAAGATGTCTTTCTCCTGATAAATTACTACTGTTTCAGCTATTGGTTCTTTGTCGGACTATCCATTGCAGGATTAATATATTTAAGGCATATCCAGCCAGATAGACCAAGGCCCATTAAAGTAAGTGCATAAGGGAATTAAAGCTTAAAATTGTAACCATTATTATATAGTTCTAGTTTTTATATTAAGCCTCTGTGGACAATTCCATTTATGAAACCACAAACTTTTTGCTTATACGGCAAAAAAAAATCCAGGCTGCAAAAATGTATATATTCACTGGGTGGCAACAAAGAACTAGCATTTTCTAAATGTTTTCAGTGTTAGATCTTTGCAATTCTGATGTGGTAACCCGTTTAGGAGCCCATTAATTTGAGACGCAAACAAAATATTTCTGATATCTACTTTTTATCTGTTAAATTGGCTTCTGGATCGAAGTGAAGATCAGGTTGTTCTTGTTACTGTTGTTTCAAAGCATGCACTAAGAAATATTCTTTGCTGTGGGTATAAATGTTTTTTCTGGGATATGAAACACAATTATAGAAAAGCTTACTTGAAATTGTGAGTTATAATAATCAGAACATTTTTCAGAAGTACTTTAACTTAGAATTCTCTTTTTTATTTTCAGCTCAGTCTCTTCTTTCCCATTGTATATTGCATATGCACAGTTTTCCTTGTTATAGTACCTCTGTATAGTGATACAATCAATTCTATTATTGGAATTGGCATTGCACTCTCTGGAATTCCTGCTTACTTTTTGGGAGTTTATTTACCAGTAGAAAAGAGACCTCGGTATCTTCATTGGCTTTCTGGTAAGAAACTACATCATTTATTTACAATTTTGCAAATGTATATTGTCCATATGCTATATTAAAGATTAAAAGGGATGGATGGAGTAATCTTAACATGGATGAAATCATGAGCTATTAATTTGTATTTACTTTAACTCTTATCCATATAATGATATTGGTATCTCCTTTAGAGAGCAAAATAGTCAGAATGGCAACCTCAACATGCAGTTGAAATCCACATGCTTTGACTGTCTATCACAATAACTTATGTCTAGGGAGATTCTCAATCATCCAGGTTGTGGTTCTCCCAATAGTGCTTTTCAAAAGGCAACTGAACTTCTTAGCTTTTTCATTGAAAACATTTCATTTCTCATCCAAGAATCTACTTCAGTTTTGGACACAATAGCTTTACTTTTCGACACCTCCAGCCAGATACCACTCCATGAGGGAATCAACCGTCCAAGGTCCTAGAACACATATACATCCTTCCTAACAAAACTTTGCACACAGTTCCTCAGAATAGTTCCATTAAATCATAACTTTTAATGAGACAGAAGGGAAAAAATGAAAGCTGGGAATAATTTTTTTAAACCATATTTGGTTAATTTAACTGTAGTTAAAATTTAATGTAAGTTAGATTGAATGAAATTAAATTTTGGTCTTCATCTTTTGTCTTCACTTTACCCTGTTTTTTTTTTTTAATAATGCAGTCCTCTTCATTCTCTCTCTCCCTTAACTTCCCAAAAAATTTGTATCCCTATCTCATATCAAATATCAGTAACCAGTTTGTTATAAAAAGCAGGCTTGCCATGTTAATGAACACTTTTACATCATAAGAAATTCCAATAACGCTGACATAATTCCTATTTTTATAATATGTTGACTTTATTTTATCTTGCAGCTACCACTACACAGTATGTTCAGAAGTTGTTCTGTTGCTGTCTGACAGACATGGACACTGAAACAGAGACACTGGAAAGCAAAGCAAAGTAGACTAGTTTGGACAATCACTAGACTTTACACATCCAGACAGCTGGAAATACTCCTTTGTGCTGTAGAACAAACCAAGAAATGTATGGCTGTACTGTGCAACATTTTGCTGGATTTTTTCCCCCAGACTATTTTACTTTATCCACCTTTTCTATGTTGTTATCAATTTAAGAGATTTTTGTTTATATCCCCCATGGATTGTTTTTAAAATAAGCAGTCCATTGTATCAAAGCAAATGCTAGGGATTTAGAGTTTCCCAGAAATATGACATAGATAGCAACCAAATAGAAAGGAAAAGTTAAAATAATGGCAGGAAGTCAAACTTAAAGACATCAAATTTCAGGTTCATCCTTGGAAATTCTAAGGCATTCTCTTTTACAGATGGAAGGTGTCCAATTTATTTGGTGGATGAATATAATTAGTCTGCATCAGTGGAGTTCATCTTGTGCCACTGAGTCAAATCCATGAAGGGTACCAGTGGAGACACTGTATGTCTTTGTACTGGTGCCTAATGTTTAGACACAATATTGAAACATCAAATGTTACTGTCACTGTTATACCACAGTGTGCCTTTTCCCTTGCAAGATTAATATATTATGAAAAAATATAATTAGTAAAGAACCTTGCTGTTAGCAGCATCTTCAGAAGAGGAATGAGAGCTGTTGACATATCAGGAGTTCTAGTCGTGATTCTGTAAATAACAGTTATGACACCAGTACCAGGCTATCAGTGAGAACTATGTATGCCACACTATCATATTTTCTTCTAAATCTTCAATTTTCTGCAATATTGTAAAATACTGTATCTGCATGCATCAATCAACATTTTTATTTTCATTCAGTCCAAATGTTTTATATATTTTTAAAAAATGCATGCTCTATTGATAGATGACTGTCAAACTTACTTCAGTTTTGAATAAACCTGAGTTTTAAATAATTGCTTTATGTGCCATTGTACACATAACTGAAGAATCAAAATTCCCAGAATTTGTGAGTGTGTAAAGCTTTTTCTGGAACAGTACTAAAATGAATTAAATTCAAAAGAGTCCCTATAAAATTCTGTATCTGAAATTTATACAGGGATGTTTGTTCAACATATGCACATTTATAAAATATCACATTCTGCTGGACTTAAAATATGCTTTATTCTTATTTCCTCTAGACCACTAAAATAATTTACTTTTTAGATAAACTCATGAAAAAAAATGATACTATGATAGTTTTACACCAATTTGTAAAATGCTATACTTCAATGCAAAATCTTTTTCTGGAGAATGAAAGAATCTGTGGAGTTCCATTTAGGTATTTAGGTATTAAAAAAATCAGAAAATAAAATACAAGCTAAATAGTCAAGACCTTGTTGAGGATCCAAAGTCTGTCAAGGACCTTGGAGTACTCATCTCTAATGATGTAAGTGCTAGAGCCCACTGTAACTACATAGCCAAAAAGGCATTAAGAGTTGTTAATCTAATCCTACGTAGCTTCTTCTCTGGTGATATCACACTACTAACTGAAGCATACAAAACATTTGCTAGACCTATACTTGAATACAGCTCATCAGTCTGGAACCCATATCATGTATCTGATATTAACACAATTGAAAAAGTCCAGAAATATTTCACAAGAAGAGTTTTCCGCTCCTCTACTCATTGCAGAATAGCTTATGCCACCAGACTTGAAACTCTAGACCTAGAAAACCTAGAACTATGCCGCCTCTGGTCCGATCTAAATATAGTATATAAAATCATACATTGTAATGTCCTACCTGTCAATGAATACTTCAGCTTCAACCATAACAACACAAGAGCAAACAACAGATACAAACTCAAGGTTAACTGCACCAAACTTGACTGCAGAAAATACGACTTCAGCAACAGAGTGGTCAATGTTTGGAATACTCTACCTGACTCTGTGGTTTCTTCTCCAAACCCCAAAAATTTTAACCTTAGACTGTGTACTATTGACCTCATCCCCTTCCTAAGAGGCCTGTAAGGGGTGTGCATAAGCACACCAATCGTGCCTACTGTCCCTGTCCTATTGTTTCTTTTTCTTCTTCTTATAACTATCTATCTCATGTATTCAAAACTATGTTTATTCTTATACCTGTATCTTGTAAGCCAATGACAAATCAAATAAGTACTAAGTATTTCTTCCTACTAATCTCACAATTTGATTGGGCTTTTTAAAAATGTTTTAAAGGATGTTTCTCACAGTGATTGGGACAGAAATGAACAATGGTAGGTAATGCTAAAACAATCTAGTCATTCAACCAAACTTAAAGGCATTCATTTTCACTCTTGAAAGTATATTTCTGACATTCCTCTTTTCCTCTCTTTTTTCTGATCTATTCTTTTCTCTTCTATGGATTAGTATTTCTTTTTTAAATAGGTAAGATGTGTAGCCAGTCTTATTGCAAAGTAGTTAAATGATCTTATAGCCCAGGGCTGTCATGCGCTGGCCACGCCCATGCCCAGTTTAAGCGAAGGGGGAAAAGTTGTGATACATCATATGATGTTTGACACCCCTATTATAGTCAAACTATATATCAGTATTGTAATTAACTATGGAATATCTTTTAGTCCATCCTGTCTGTTTTTAGCCCTTGAAGGTGTTCTTTGCTCACTCAGCTGCACAGTTGGACTGAAAGAGAAAGGAAGAAAGGAAGAGTGAAATTGACCCAGAATCATTGGTTCTAAATCCTCAAACATAGAATACTATATGTTATATCTAGATAAATAATGAGTTCTTTATCAAACACAAAATATTATACAGTGGGAGAAATCTTATCATTAATAATACTGTTGAAAAGTTCATTTGTTGCCAGATTCCTATTAAGGTTATGAGAACACTGAGTAACTTTTGAGAAATGGGTGTAATGTTTTCTTTGTAATAAAAGAAAAGTAGCCTTCTGGAAAGAAATGAAAGACCAAAATTGGCAGATAAAAGCATATACAGAATGGTCCTATGATAACAAATTTGTCACACATTATATGATGGAACAGAAAAGTTATTTTACTGCAAGAAAGGAATTTCAGAAAAGGATTATGTACAAATGTCTATATGTATTTGCACAGTAATATAACTCTGATTGTATATTTCTACTTTGATAGATCATTGTTTTTGTGCATAGGTATATCTGTATAAATCTGATTCCTGATTCCTCTTTAGCAGTAATAGTGATTCATGTATTATATTCAAAAATGGAAATGTATCCCCTTGGGGTTGTTCTGTGCTAGTGTTGGATATGACTAAGAAGATCCAGATTAAAATCTATATTTGGTAATGTTGGGCTATGTCAACCCCAGAAGAATATTGCCATAAGGGTAAAATTAAGAATAGCTTGAATGTTGTCTTTCCCCAGGGCAGGGGCAGCTGTAGAGAAGATGCACTTCCTAGGTCCCATTAGATAGGAATGTTTAAAGGAAGGAATCGGAAGCATGTCCACATCCAACTCAGTGGGGCAAATTCCCTAGTATATGAGAGCAAGCCCCACTCCCTTTTAGCACTGATTATGTTACCTAGTTGTAATGAAATGTCTGCAAGAAAATAGCCAAGCTCAGAGAGCATCAAGGACCTCCAAAATGTGTAAGTATATTTTACCTTGCTTACAGATTTTGATTTGTCTTCTGACTACACTAAAGACTTCCAGGTTTTGCAGAGAAACAACAGGCTCAAATAACAACTTCTTCTTCTTCTTCTTCTTCTTCTTCTTCTTCTTCTTCTTCTTCTTCTTCTTCTTCTTCTT